TACAAACTTTTGAAGAAGTGTTGGCTCTTCTAATCTATGGGATGGTATTGTTTCCTAACCTGGACCAACTCATAGATGTGAATGCGTTCAAAGTTTTTCTATCTCGTAACCCGATACCTACCTTGCTTGGAGATATCTTGCATTCTCTTCACACTCGTACCATGAAGAGAAGGGGAATTCTTATGTGTTGCACTCAATTGTTGGCTAGGTGGTTTATTTCGCACCTACCTCGATCTGTTTTGAAGAATGAGCAAGGCATGATATGGTCTAATAGGTTGATATCACTCACACATTCGGGTATTCATTGGTGTTCTCGATTTTTGGAGGATGTTATCATTATTGACCGTTGTGGGGAATTCCCTAGTGTCCCTCTCCTTGGCATTAGGGGAGAAATCACCTACAATCCTTGTTTGGCTTTGTGGCAGTTTGGGTATGCTAGGAGGGATGGTCCTCATGATGCACTTGTCCAAGTGATTGCATTTGACTATAAGGACGATGTCCAAGGCTACCGTCAAAGATTTGTACGAGCTTGGGGCATGGTGAACAAAGTTGATAGCAAAACTTTGGGGCATAAGAACTCCATTCCTTTGGAGCCTTATCTCAAGTGGGTGAGAGCTCGCGCTTAAAACCTCGTGATGCCTTATGAGGCCATTCTACCTATCATCATGGATCCTATTACCGAGAGAGATGTTCCTTACACTATTCTTCACCCTGACATGCCTACTTCTCTTGAAGAGTTGCAAAGATCTTGGATTTAACTCAAAGGGGAGTGAGATACCTTTGAAACCCAGTTCTATGCAAGAGAGAGGAAGGTTATGGAATTCACAAGAAAACTTCATGAAGAGCGGAGTTTGAATGCCTACATTGCATCGAAGAGGATGCGCTCATGGGAAGTTTGAGTCTTTTTGTTTTAGGAGTTTATTTTGTATTATCTTTGTTTCTTCCATTGTAAGCCCAAGAGGCATCTTTTAACCGTTTGAACTTATTAATGCAATTAATGTTTGTCCCCTCTTTTTCTAAACAAATTTAAACCTTAAAAGTCCTTGAAATCATTTGCATCTACATCACATGCATCATAACATAAGCAAGTTTTCCGACACAGGTTTCTTCATCTTTCTACTATTTATTTCAGTGAGATGGATCTCGAGCAGACTGTGAAAGACTTGCAGACACAGAATTCTCAATTTCAAGAAACCTTGCTCACCTTGGCCAAAGGGCGGAAAGAACTGATGTCACTGCTGGTTACAAAGAAGAAAACAAAGAAGAAAGTCGTAATCAACATGGGGAAGAGATTCAAGGGCCCCGTCCGACAGGTTCAAGTAGAAGAAGACTTCTCCTCCGAGGATGAGAATCAGAATGAAGACGCAAGGAGCACCCATGCTAGGATTGCAAACAATCAAGCTTCTGAGGATGAAGATTACTTTGATGAACAATATCCATCGGTTGAGGATAAGTATAAGCAACTAGAAGATAGGTTGAAAGCTGTGGAAATTCAAGCTGTATCTGGCTTGGATTTTGGTGATTTGGGCTTAGTACTTGGGGTTGTTATCCCCCAAAAAGTCAAAATTCCAATCTTTGCTAAGTACGAAGATGTTTCATGCCCAAATATTCATTTGAGGTCCTACGTCCATAAAATACAACCGCATACCACTAACAAGAAGCTCTGGGTACACTTCTTTCAAGAGAGTTTGTCTGGGACTCAGTTAGAATGGTTTTACTAGCTGGAGGGTTCCAACATTCATACTTGGGAAGATCTGGCCACCGCTTTCTACCGCCAATATCAGTACAACGCTGATTTGGTGCCGACTAAGGTTCAGTTACAAGGAATGACAATGGGTTCCAATGAAGGTTTTAAAGAATATGCGCAAAAATGGAGAGACCTTGCTGGTAGAGTACAACAACCACTGACGGATAAGGAGCTGGTGGATATGTTCATGGGAACATTAACTGGACCATTTTTCAACTTGTTAATTGGGAGCTCATCATCTGGTTTCACTGAGTTAATCCTGACTGGTGAAAGGGTCGAGAGCGGTATCAAAAGTGGAAAAATTCCCATGGCTTCTGCCTCTACATCAAACACTGTGAAAAACCCTTTACTGGAAAGAAGGAAACTAATTCCGTATATGGGTCAAGAGGCCATGTATAGAAGGATCACCGCCAATATGTCAATGATGTCTTGATCTCCAATCCACCATTCACTCAAAGAGAACCACAACATGCCAACCATCAAAGGTCTGAGGTTCCAAGAAGATAATTCACGAGGATTAACATGTCACTGTCCCAAGCCTTTCAACACTTATTGAAGGCCAACTTGGTAACATTGCGTGATCCACCATCAAATCCCAATGTTTCATCTCCGAAATACAATCCTAACTGTAGCGATAGAAATGTTTAAGACTAAGCCATTGGATTGACTTGACTCATACAGATCAAAATAATATCGCCACCACGCTTTATTGTTTCCAAAGGAATGGGAAAAGAGTGAATAACCCAAAAAGAGGGAAAAAGATTCAAGGTAAGGGGGTTTCTTATGCAAAGGGAAGGTATTAGAATCCCAAACATCTACAGTACTCCATAGGAACCTCTTTGTAAAATCTGTATATTTTGTCTATAAAATGTTATATAAAATAGATGGTGGAGGTGAGAAAAGAAATATTTTTTTTATGATTTTTGCACCCGCCGCGGTTGCGAACCTTTAGTGCTTACGTACCATCTTCCATGCAATAGGGGATCAAGGTACACGTAGTTCACATTTAAAAAATTTAAAACACAAGTGTGTTGGTTAATTTTATGAGATAAGACATCATTGTCATTGTCCGTGTGGAAAACATACTTACTACCCACAATCATGATAAAGGAGAATTTGTGTCATCTCAAGAGTCCAATTACTGCTTTGGTTATAGCAACATATTTCAGGATGGGATCATTGTTTGACACAAGAAGTTCAAAATGGAGGGTAGTGTTACAATCAGGGCAGTTGTTCAGTGAATGCACGATGAAAACATTTAACGAGGAGGTTGCGAAAGCAAATACCCATAATGTCACAGTGTTTGACCGTATTAAAGGTTGATTCAGTGTACAAGAGACAATGGATCATAATGAGGGGAGGCCAAATGGATATTATCGGGTCGAACTAGATAGTAGTTGGTGTGACTGCGAAAAGTTTCAAGCTTTTCGTATGCCTTGCTCTCTTGTCATAGCGGCATGTTTGCATGTTCGCTTGGACCCAATACAACATATATCCCCCGTGTACACAATAAAGAGCGTTTTAAGTGTGTACATCAATACCTTCTCCGTGTTGGCCAAAGAGGATTATTGGCCTGCTTATCAAGGGGACATTATTTGGCACAATGAATAAATGCGACGGAAGAAAAAAGGGCGCTCGAAAAGCACTTGTATTAGAACTAAAATGGATACGACCGACAAAATGATAAGATTATGCAGTACATGTCGTCTTCTCGGACACATTCGAAGAAATTGTCCGGATATTGGGTCTAACTCTGCAACCTAACTTTTTTATAGCAAACTTTCTGGAGTGTTTAATTTGTTGTACGCAATATATTTCAATTTAAATTCAAGTTATCATTTCGTGTTTAATTTATCATTCGATTACAACAACTTTCACATAATGACACAAAAAATTACAAGACCACATACTCAGGACAACAATACAACAACATGATAAATAGACAAAATAACTAAACAAATCATAATATCTAAGAGATGAAAACCATCAACACAATACCGTCTGGTCCAAGCATCATCATCATGACATCAGCGCTGCATCTCACCTTTTTCCATGATCGACTTACTCCATTTTCATTCCTCACTGTAATGTGTCTTTCTATTTTTCTGATCTGTTCACCTTCAGGAATGTCTCCTTCCAACCAGCGAATCAAGTGCCTCTGAAAATGCTCGAACGTCTGCGTGTTCCAGAGTTTGATCTTCACCGGAGGCTTTGTCGCCGAAAAAATAACATGCGCATCTCTTTTGATCAGTGAAAACTTTGGCAAGAGAGTTGAAGACATTTTCTAAGAGTTATGTAACAAATGGTGTGAAAAAATGAAGAGAATTGGTGGTTGCATTTATAGAAAACCATATAACACTGTCAAGCCAATGAAGGTGGCGCCTCCTCTCTGGAAATACATGTATGTGCCACTCTGCATGACTTTACAGAGGAGAACAAGCCATGCAGTGTGGCGCCTCCTTTTTAAAATGCATGCATGCGCCACACAAAGTGACTACTCCTCTGTGTGACAATTTTTTTTTTGTTTGAAAAGTGGTCAATTTGATAAATTTTTTTAAAAAGTAATTATTTGAGAAATTTTAAAAAAAAAAAAGTAATTATTTAAAAAAATTCCAAATATTTTAGGCTGCTAGAATTGTTTCTAAAATTTTATATATTTTTTACAAAAATGTGGCACCAAACTTTTTATTAAAAAACAAAGTCCATTTTTCTATTTAACTTATTCTATTTTTAGTCTATTATATATTTGTCTTATTTCAATGCAATTTTGTATTTTATTTATATTTATTATTGATACAAATGGGAAAAAAATATATTATTTATACAAATATTTGTATTAACGAAAAAAAATTATTGTTGATACAAATGTTATATAAACGAAAAAAAAAATATTGTTGATATAAATATTTTTATAAATGAAAAAAATATATTGTTGATATAAATTTTTTTAACGAAAAAAATATATTGATGATATAAATATTTTTTTTTAAATGTGAAAAAATGTATGATTGACACTAATATTTTTATAAAAGGGAAAAGTCAACTTTTGATATAAATTTTTTTTTAATTAAAAAAAAATGAATTGCTGATACAAATAATTTTATAAACGATAATTTATATTTGGGAAAAAATAAATGTATCAGACCAAAATTTGTGTATATGCACAAATTTTTTACTAATTTATTTATAAATTAATAATATAATGGTGGTGGAAAGATTCTTCCATCGACCACCAATCAACAATAGCTAGAGACTATAAGGTAGACTTCACAAAACTAGAAACACTCCTTGTAGGTTGATTATTCTTACCAAGCATCTCATCTAACTCTTTTTTAAATCTTCCCATCTCTTCTAAAGGCAAACAAATTGGCAATGTCAAACATTCTTCTCCTTTTGCATTCTTATGTGAAACAATAAAACTTGCTCCATGAAACGAACCAGCCCCACCTCTTGCAATTCCACCATACACTCCTTCACCCCATCCAAAATTCACTTCCTTAAATTTAGCACGAGTCAAATCTGAAATAATACAAGACCTTAAGGTTGTATATGAACATCGTTCCTTAATAACCATAAGATCTGCCACTGATTGCATGTATTCTTCTGTAACTTGTCCTTTCAACTTTCTTATCAATTCTACTGCATAACCTAGTGAGTTCCCGCAAAGCTTCCCTGCAGTGGTTACAGCCGCCGGATAAGCGATACAATTACCGTAATAACCAACAAATGATGAATGATTATTGTTAAACCTTGAACGTGCATTGACGAGGCACATTATTCGTACATCCTTCTCCGGCTCTAACTGCAATGCTTTTGTACGACAATACCAAAAACATGCAGCAATAAGATCAAATGTGGTGCATTGAAATGGAACCAAGAGACGAATTGCAGCTATGTCTGAAGGTCTAAAGCAGAAAGATTGATGGACTATGGTAGTACTAGTAGAAGTATCTTCTTCTTTGATGGTGTTTGATGGAAGTATTTGTTCGTATTCAAGATGGTTGCATGTAATGCGTGGTGGGTCTCTTGCCATGAGGATCTCTCTATACCAGACAGGTTGAATCGAAGGTTGATGTTCTCCTCGAGCCATTTCTGCCCATGCATTCATGAACTGGATTAAACCAGCTGCGTCGCCCATGATATGATTCCAATTTATTGCTATTATGAAACCACCGCACTTGAGACGTGTCACCTGTAAAATTTAAAATCAAATAGTATCTTTAGATATTATGTATGGATATTATAATTACTTGAAAGATATATAATATTAACATCTATTATGTTTAAGTGGTTATATATATATATATATATATATATATATATATATATATATATATATATATATATATATATATATATATATATATATATATATATATATATATATATATATATATATATATATATATATATATATATATATATATATATATATATATATATATATATATATATATATACTATTTTGTAACCAACAGAATATTTATGTATAAGAAAATATAATATAAGAATAAAAGTCTTATGTTTTGGACTTGTTGAATATGTTGAATAAACTTTAATGTGTTAGTAATAAGTTTTACATTAAATATGGTAGTAGCGACAAAAATTTAGTAAGTTATGATAGTTTATTAGTAGCAGTTATGTTTTTAGAATCGTAAAAGTCATTAGGTCTAGATAAAGACCAAGAGTGTATTGAAAAGAGAGCAATATAGAAGTATTAATATAGAAGTCTGATTATCTTATAATAATTTGGCATCAGAGCTCATGGAAAATATGATGAATCAAATGCCGTTGCCACGACTAACGAAGTCAAATTATGAAAACTGGAGTATCCAAATGAAAGCTCTTCTTGGATCTCTAGATGCGTGGGATGTGACCCATGATGGGTTTGTAGAACCAACAGAAGTTGGGGGATATACGATAGCTCAAACGAAGGCGTTGAAAGAGACGCGATCGAAGGACAAAACGACATTATACATGTTGTTCAGGGCTGTAAATGAATCAGGCTTCGAAAAAATTGCTGGTTCGACTACGTCGAAACAAGCATGGAACACGTTAGAAAAAGTGTTCAAAGGAGCAGATCGAGTGAAACAAGTTCGACTCCAAACTCTTTGTGGCGAATTGGAGAGAATACAGATGAAGGATACAGAAATTGAATCTGACTACATCACACGTGTGCAAAAGGTGGTGAATCAACTCACCAGAAATGGAGAGACAGTACCTAATGCACGAGTTGTTGAAAAGATCTTGAGATCTTTAACAGACAAGTTTGAGAATATTGTGTGTGCAATAGAAGAGTCGAAGGACCTTTCGACGCTCTCAGTCGAAGAGCTCGCTGGTTCTCTCGAAGCACATGAACAACGAAAGATGAAAAAGAAAGAAGAAGCAATCGAAGAAGCAAACCAAACCAAGGAATCGAATAAAGATGAAAAGGTACTCTTTTCGAACAACTTTCGAGGAAGAGGACGTGGACGTGGAGGTCGTGACAGTGGTCGAAGTGGTAGAGGTAGCAACTTCGAAAGGGGACAATCGAGCCAACAAAATTGGCGTGGCAGAGGACGTGGTCAAAGAGGTGGTCGTTCGAATCATTCCAACTTTGAATGCTACAAGTGTGGGAAGTATGGTCATTATGCGAAGGATTACAACTCCAACAAATGTTACAACTGTAACAAAGTGGGACATCTTGCAAAAGACTGTCGAATCGAAAAGAAGATTGAAGAAACAACCAACCTAGCCTTGGAAGCTGAATCAAATGAAGGCTTTCTCCTGATGGCTCAAAACGAAATCAACACCAATAATGACAATGTTTGGTATCTTGACTCAGGAGCAAGTAATCACATGTGTGGTTACAAACACCTGTTTAAAGATATGAAGAGAATTGAAGATGGTAATGTGTCTTTTTGAGATGCATCGAAAGTGAAGGTCGAAGAAAAGGGCACAATCGGTTACTTGCAGAAGGATGGCTTGATTGGATCAATCGAAGACGTTTACTATGTACCAGATCTCAAGACCAACATATTAAGTTTGGGACAACTTACAGAAAAAGGTGCTTCGATACTTATGAAAGATCGAGCACTGCATTTGAAGGACAAAATAGGACATCTGATTGCCAGTGTCGAAATAGAAAGAAATCGAATGTACAAACTGAACCTGAGGAACATTCGAGAGAAATGTCTGCAAATCGAAGTGCAAGACAAAGCGTCACTGTGGCATATGCGCTTTGGTTATCTACATCATGCTGGTTTGAAAAGGTTGGCGAAAAGGAACATGGTGCATGGACTACCAGACATGGATTTCGAAGGAAAATTCTGTGAAGAATGTGTGCTCAGCAAACAAACAAGAACCTCATTTCAAAGGAAGGTAGAGTATCAAGCTAAATATATTCTCGAATTGATACATACTGACATATGTTGGCCAATCACTCCAGAATCCTTTAGTGGAAAAAGGTACTTCATTTCTTTTATTGATGACTTCTCAAGAAAAACCTGGGTTTACTTCCTGAAAGAAAAATCTGAAGCATTAGAAGTGTTCAAAAAGTTCAAAGTAATGGTGGAGAAGGCAACAGACAGACACATCAAAGCAATTTGATCTGACAGAGGAGGTGAGTATACTTCAATGGCCTTTGTGAAGTACTGTGAAGAATAAGGCATAAGGATATTCCTAACTGCATCATATTCACCTCAACAAAATGGTGTGGCTGAAAGGAAGAATCGAACTATTCTTGACATGACTCGATCAATGCTCAAAAGCAAGAACATGTCGAAAGAATTCTGGGCAGAAGCAGTACAATGTGCTGTTTATATTCAGAATAGATGTCCACATTCGAAGTTAGAAGACAAAACACCACAAGAAGCATGGAGTGGACAGAAGCCAACAATTTCTCATCTCAAGGTATTTGGTAGTATAGCTTATGCACATGTACCAGATCAGCGAAGATCAAAGCTTGAAGACAAAAGTCAGAAGTACATATTCATTGGATATGATGAGAAGACGAAAGGGTACAAGCTCTTCAATCTCATAAGCAAGAAAGTGATCGTGAGTAGAGACGTTCGAATGGACGAAGCAAGCAAGTGGGACTGGAACAATTCGACAGAGGTTGTTGACACAGTCGAAGAAACAACTGTAGCTGTACCAACTAGTATTCCAATAGAACATGAAGAAACTGAAGATGAAGATGAACCTCTACAACCAAAAATGAGAAGTTTGCAAGATTTGTATGATTCAACAAGTGAGGTGCATCTTGTGTGTCTTCTGGAAGATGCTGAAAACATTAGTGTCGAAGAAGCGTTACGAGATAAGAAGTGGAAAAGTGCCATGGACGAAGAAATTAGAGCAATCGAACGCAACAATACTTGGGAGCTAGTCGAATTGCCAAAAGGTAGTCAACCCATTGGTGTAAAGTGGATATTCAAGAAAAATATCAATGCTCAAGGAGAAATCGAAAGATTCAAAGCACGACTGGTTGCGAAGGGATACAAACAGAAAGCATGAATTGACTATGACGAAGTGTTTGGCCTGTTGCAAGAATGGAGACAATTCGATTACTCATTTCTCAAGCTGCTCAATTCAAATGGACAATATTTCAAATAGATGTCAAGACAGCATTTTTGAATGGTGTGATCGAAGAAGAAATCTATGTCGAACAACCACTTGGATATATGAGAATTGGAGAAGAGAAGAAGGTATTGAAACTGAAGAAATCGCTGTATGGGATGAAGCAAGCACCCAGGGCATGGAACACACGTATTGACACATATTTCAAGGAGAATGAGTTCGAGCAATGTCCTTATGAACCCGCCCTCTATGTGACGAAAAATGGAAGTAATTTATTACTTGTTGCTCTCTATGTTGATGATCTTATCTTTCTAGGCAGTGATGTTCAGATGATCGAAGATTTCAAGAGCACCATAACAAGCGAATTTGAAATGACAGACTTAGGTCTGATGAGATTCTTTCTTGGTCTGGAGGTTCGACAAGAAGAAGCTGGAATCTTTATCTCACAAGAAAAATATGCAAAAGAAATCCTAGAAAAATATAAAATGAAGAATTGCAATCCAACTTCGACGCCAATGGAACCAGGTACAAAACTGTCAAAGTTTGATGGAGGAGAACGGGTCGAAGGAAGCAAATATCGAAGCTTCGTAGGTAGCCTTTGATATCTCACATGCACAAGGTCAGACATTTCACTAAGTGTTGGCATAGTGAGTCGATTCATGGAGGAGCCAGTACACACACATTGGAAGGCGCTGAAACGAATTCTAAGATACATCCAAGGAACAGTATCACTAGGAATGTTTTATTCAAAAACAGAAGACTACAAGTTAGTTGGTTATTCTGACAGTGACTGGTGCGGAGACATAGACGATCGAAATAGCACCTCTGGATATGTGTTTTTCATGGGAAACACAACATTTACTTGGTTGTCGAAGAAGCAACCTATAGTAACACTTTCGACGTGTGAAGCTGAATATGTGGCAGCATCCTGGTGCGTCTGTCATGCAGTATGACTCAGAAGGTTGATAAGCAAGATGGAGCTAAAACAGGAAGGTCCAACAATAATACAAGTGAACAATAAATCAGCTATCGAATTGACAAAGAATCCAGTGAATCATGAACGAAGCAAACACATTGATGTTCGATTTCATTTCATTCGTGAACATGTGAAGGAGGGAAGTGTCGAATTGAGGCATGTAGCAAGCAAAAACCAAGCAGCGGATATTTTCACAAAACCACTATCAAAAGAGATCTTCAACAGAGGCAAGAAGATGATAGAAATGCTGGATGGAAGAAACATTTAAGTTTACAGAGGTGTTTTGTTGAATAAACTTTAATGTGTTAGTAATAAGTTTTACATTAAATATGATAGTAGGAAGGACAAAAATTTAATAAGTAATGATAGTTTATTAGTGGCCGTTATGTTTTTAGAATTGTAAAAGTCATTAGGTCTATATAAAGACCAATAGTGTATTTAAAAAAGAGAGCAATATAGAAGTATTAATATAGAAGTCTGATTATCTTATAACAGAATATACATCTAACTATCCAACTATCAAATCAATTCTTGTTTTTTAACTCAAACACATTTTGATTATTTATCTCCAGTTTGAAGTTTATAATAGTTTCATAATTTTTTTAAAATAAAGATTTGATTTTTAACTCAAACACATTTTTGATTATTTATCTCCAGTTTGAAGTTTATAATAGTTTCATAATTTTTTAAAAATTAATCTTTATTTTAATTTTATTAATTTTTTTCAATTAGTTCTTTTTATCTATTGCATTTAAATGACTTTAAAAACGTTTGTGTGGTCTCTGTATATCATCTCCTTAAAAACAGTATATTTCTGATAAGAAAGAAGAATATGAGGATGAAATAAATATTACCCAGATGTCACACACTGAAATGTCAATAGTCTTTTTTACACATTTGAATACATTGGATAAAAAAGATTGATATTAAATATAATTTTTTTTAGTTATAGGATCAATAAGAACCACTAAATTTTGGGTGAATAAATCAAATCAATTAATAGAGTTATATATATATATATATATATATATATATATATATATATATATATATATATATATATATATATATATATATATATATATTAGACTAGATTTTTTAATAAATAGAAAAGACAGAGATTTTGTTATAAATTTATTTAGTTAAAAAGAGGAGAAAAATATTGTAAAAAAAATATTTTAATTCTTTTATGTAAATAAACTTAAATAATTTTATTAATATTATTAATATATTATATTTTATATTTAAAATAAAAATATAAATGTAAAATTATAAAATTAAGAAAATAAGTTAGAAAAAATGTTGCAAGTAGTTTTTATTAGTTCTTTCAAATAAATAACATAAAAAAATATGTTAATAGATAAACTTGACTAAATTAATATAAACAAACATTCAGTATCATTTAAATTGTTTATGTGTAAATATTTAAATGAAATTAATTATATATAGTTAATAAATTTTTAAATTGTTTATGCTTTAAATTTTTAACACTCAAACTCACAAATAGATCGGTTTAACCTATTCTGACTCCTGTGCGAGCTAAAGATGAAAAAAACTAACTTGTATGAGTCGAATGGGACGATCAATAATTAATTCTGAGCCTGAAACATCGTAGAGAAGTTCTTGGAGGCAAAGGAATGGTGGATGGAGAGAGTCACCAAATTGGTCAAGTGTTACATCAGCTTCAGCTTCAACGAACATGACACCTTCACCAGTACAATCAACCATCAACTTTCGTCCAACACCTTCTATAATCCTTCCCGCAAATGGATAATAATATACAAGTGTTTCTGAGAGTGCATTTCTAAGAACTTCAACCGGATCTTTTTCGGCCATTGATGGTTCGTGGCGATAGATAAATATGAAAGGAATATTGAAACGCAAACCTTGTTGATCATCTATGTCAGAGAGTAGTTTAACTTCTCGAGGAGTTGAAGCAGCTGAAAGCACCATCTCTGGTTGGAACCTCCTCACTGTGAATAATAATGGTGATGAAGCCATGTTGTCTGTATGATAAAAAAAACAACAGAGCTAATAATAATGTGTAGTGTTTGGTTTGTGAGTTATATACATGAATTCTTTGTTAAAAAGTAGAAATTGAAGGACCATGTTACACCTCATCTTTGTACTACAATAATAGACTAGTTGTTTTCAACCTGGTCACGTTTTATTCTTCTTTCGTAATGTGTAGAGACCTTAAATCAAGAACTCGTCATGCGCATGCAAGACATGTCTTTATGTGAGCACCACCAATAAGATTCATTACACATGGGTTATAACTATATCTCTCACTCATTACACAATACACATCCTTATATACACATCCTTATTGGTGGTTATTTATAGTATCACACTCATCGTTTTTATTATAAAAAAAGTTTTTTTTTATATAAGATTAAATATATTTTTAGTCTCTATAAACATCTCAAATTTAATTTTTAATTTCTATTAAAAAATGTTATATTTTAGTCCTACAAAATTTTTATTCATATAGCTTTAGTCTATATTATTTTTTAAAATTTTGAAAATTGATTAATTATTTTTAAATTTTTAAGTTTTAGAATAATATTTTTTATAAGTATTTAGAATACTATAAAATATTTATTTATCATATTTTAAAAAAAATTCAAATGAAAAAATTAAATTTAAATTTCAAAAAATATTGATTAAAGCAATGAAAATCTCGATTTAGAAATCAAATTTTAATTTCCTATTTGTTTGAAGAACTTTTTATAACGTTCTAAACATGTATGCAAAATATTCATTCAAAAATACACATAGGTTTAACAACAAAGACTAAAACTACGTGCATAATAATTCTGTTTAGTTTTTTAATAGAGACCAAAAATAAAATTTAGTAATTTATAGAGACCAATAACATATTTGACCCTAAATAATATAAGTATTCAAACTATATATGAAATAGTTTTATTGATTATTCAACACATGAAATATAAGCATGAGTAGCCTATAATATGTAATCTTTTTTTGGTGCTTAGGGATTTCGTCCCTTCCTCCAAACTTGATAAGTGGTGGTGACGTCCGTCTAAAGACGGTTATCATTCTATCTCATTCGCATACTCGTTTATTCACTCTTGCGAGCTTTCTAGAGATCATCAGATATCATATGTAAAGTTGGTCTTTTCTAGTATCTATAATAGATGGATCCCTTTTAAAGTGTGTCATCTGTCCTTTCTAGTCGGAGACCCTTGAGTCGTCCTCTCATATTTTAGTGTATGTATATTTTAGCCTTGACTTTTATCGAAAAACCCATTTACTTTTAAATATGATCACTCACTTACTAAATTAAGAGATTACTCCTATTCTATAAACTTTTGTCAGATACTTTTTTTATGTAGACATTGCTTGAGATCTCTTGATATGAGACTTTCGATTATTTTCATTCAATTTTCCCTCATTGGATAGTCAAGCTTATCAAATCATAAAAGTTAGATTTGCATCTTTGTTCGCTTAATCGTTCATACTTGACTCATCATAGTTATCATCAAGGTGCTTGTCATCATGGTGGTTGTCATCATCAAAAGTAGATGTTATATTATCTACAAAACAAGGTTCCACGTCAATAACGCGTCTCAACAATAACAATATCATCAATAAACCTATAACATAAATTTGTTTAAACATCAATAACAAAATAAAACCTCTTAGTTTCGGGTCTCAACAACAACAATAATATGAGTAATGAATATGACATATCAGATCTTTGAAGAAGAAGTGAAATAAAATGATTTGGATCTCTAAAGAAGAAACGAGAGTCCTAAATACATAACATATTTGTATTGAAGATGATATATGTTTATGAATCTCGTTATTTAGGGCTTTCTCGTTGACTATCTTGTTAAGGTCTCTTCATTAGGGTTCTGTTTGTATTGCTTAGCAAATTGACACTGGAATCTACAAGATAAAACTATATAAATAGGAAAAAATAAATTTACCTTGATTAGAAAACAAAACCGAAGTGAAAAGTGACATATTTTTAGATTAAAAATAAAATATTCAGAAAGATGTCACTTTTAAAGGAATAAAAACATAATCTGAAATTGTTGGAATTTGAAGCATGTACACTGAACTAGTTTACCCCCAGGTTTTCATTAAAAACTGACTAAATAGATTGTATATTGTTTAAAGAAAAAAAATATGGTGTGTCAAGGGATTATACCTCAGTTATTTGATATCTGAGGTGAAATTGTAGCCATAAAAATAGTTTTTCTAGTAGTGAGTAAGACAATAGATGTCAGATATAGGGGTGTTCACGGTCCGATTTGGATTGGTTTTGAGACAAAAAGTCATTCGATTCAAAGATATAAAGAGCATGCGGTTTGATTCGATTTTGGATGACTAAAAACAAAATCCAATCCAATCTAATCCAATTTATGCAGTTTATTTCGATTCGGTTGGTTCAATTTTATTCAGTTTTTAAAACAAACATTGCATAAACTTTTAAATCATTTAAAATTTTATTTTAATTAGACTTAACTACACTTTAAAAAAAAATTAAGCATTTTTTGTTTGGTTTTGTTTTAACAAACAAAATGAAATTAGTCTATAATTATACAATATACATCATTTAAAAACAATGTACCTATTGAAATAAGTATACAGAATGTTGGCGGTGGGTTGAGAGAGACGAATTGAAATTAGAAAACGATTTAAATAAGGTTAAAGATTCATCGAGTGAGAAGATGAAATGATATGACGTTAACGGTGATTTGTGTAGCTAATGAAATATATTTTCCAATAAACTGACATTTATTATATTTAATATTTATTATATTTTGGGGAAGAATGAGATTACATAAAACAAAATGTAAAATATGTAAAAGTTCAAACAAAAACATGTTTAATATTTATTATATTTTGACTATTGAAACATGCTTTTCAATAAAATCTCATATTTATTATATTTATTATATCTAATATTGATTATATTTTGAGAAAAGACATTAATGAAACGGTGAAAGAATTCTAATGTCTTTAAATTTTTTTCAATGCATATTCATTATATTTAATAATTGATGATAAAATAAGAATAAGTGAGAAAAAAATACTTTGGTTTAGTTTGGATTGTTTCGTTTCTCATACAGTCTATCAAAAACCAATATGAACCGATCGGTTGTGCTATTAAGTGATCCAAACACATTCAAAAAAGTTTGGTTTTCGGTTTTTTGATTTGATTTTCTATTTCTTTTTTTGAATTGGATTGGATCTTAACACTCCTAATCAAGTGAGTGTACAAGTTGAAATTGAAGCAAATGGTAAAATTACCAAGTATAAGGAAAAAATGTTGGCAAAAGGCTTCCTTCAAAAGCCTTGAATTAATTTTAATGAAGTCTATGCACTAGTTGCTAGACTTCAAACTATAAGATTGTTTGTACCTATTGCAACATATAGAGGTTGGAAGAAACATCACTCGATGTCAGCATTCTTAAATAGACCTCTATAGAGTATGATGCATGGCAAACACTTTGATTGAAGATATTACTTGAAGAGTTAAATGTGAACAATTGTGTGCAAATCAAGTTGTTAGTAGAAAATCAAATGAACAATAAATTTGATAAGTCATCCTATAAGCCATGGTATGAACAAAGACATAGAAAGAAGATATCACTTCTTTACAAACCAAATTGATATAGAGAGGTTGAGAACAGAATATTGCAAAATTGAGATACAATTGACTGATATTATGACAAAATCTTTGACGCAACCAATATTCTTTTTATTATACAATAGTTCTAATAAACAAAGTATAACGGATACTCCACTCGATCTTTGAAGACCTTACATAATTAAAAAGAATGTGAAACTTGAAGAATTTAAATTAAGAAAGATATTAAATATAATTCGGTTTAGTTTTAAAGTGTTACAAGTGTGACAACACAAATAAAATATCACACTTTAAGAGTTTTTTTTTTTTTTTACTAAAGCAGTTCTAGCTAGTTAGTTAATTTTGAGTTTTCTAATCAATATAAATAAATCTTTTCATTAATTTCTTTTAACCAATATGAATAAATCCTTTATATATATATATATATATATATATATATATATATATATATATATATATATATATATATATATATATATATATATATATATATATATATATATATATATATATATATATATATATATATATATATATATATATATATATATATATATATATATATATATATATATATATATATATATATATATATATATATATATATATATATATATATATATATATAATTTTAATTCTCTCTAAATTTCCTCAATTTACAAATCTTATAACATATGTTGCCCAACACTCACCTCCAAGTATGTCCTATTAATGTCGACTTAAATTCATCTGCAAATTATTGTATTAAAATCTAAATTCACGTTGTTAACAATACAATCAAGGTGCCAATCAATTGCTATTAAATTGGAGGACATGTGTACATGAATGGGAAACGGTATGAACAAGATATATTGTATACGTTAATACACATAATTTTTGTCCATACTAATGTTGTATAACACGTTTAATGAATGTGAGAGATAGTGATAACACATGGTTAATGAATAGAAATGTCCTGCATGATGAGTTCTTAATGTTTCGGTATCTATATATAAATGAGAACAACTAGTCTTTACTTGTGTCTGACATATGACATAGATGATCAACAAAGTTTACGTTTCAATATTCCAATTCATATTTCAACTAGTAAAACACTTTTAGTGAGAACAAAAAAGAGATAATTAAAAAAAATAAAAATTGTATTATTGACTTAAATTATTACAAATTAATTTACAAATTAATTTATTTATATATAACTAATTTGTACACTAAATAGACTAATAAACTCTAATTGAGTTTGGACTTAGGTTACACAATTTTGATTAGGTCCAATATCTCAACATATCTCCTATAATTCAAGTTGTCGAACATATTCTAAAAATAGTCAATCAAAATTATTTTTAATTTCTTTCTCAAATTCAGAAATCTGTCGATC